CTCATTCGATCACTGCCCTTGCAAGGGCACGTCTCGCGCTGGCAGCTACGAGCACATGCTTTCCACTGCACGCCTCAGCAAGGAAAAAGGCCACCCTACAACACCTCCACTTGCCAAAAAGCAGCAACACGATCTTAATCCATTCCCAGAGACGCACTCCCTTGCCTGTAAAGGGAATACGAGTCTCGTCCTTACGCAGCCTTCACTCTGCGGCTGTGGAGCGATGGGTATTTCAGCCGGCTCTTTAAAACCACAGTGCAACCAAGTGACAATCACCACGGGACATGAGAAGTAAAGGCGGAAAAATTAAGCAGCAACAGGCATGAGAAAGAGCATCTTCTGCCTCTCATGTCTTCCCAGAGAGAGGATTACTCAGAAATCGGCCTAACAGAGCAAGTGCCAAATGATACCGCACTTAATGTGATCTCTCTGTCGGCTGGTTGCTTTCACCTCCCTTTCGAATCGCTTGTGAATACATCAGCAAATTTTTTCCAAATACGACAAAGAGATGAGGGCCTCCAAAATATTAAGTTCTTACAATTTTCATGAAGACAGGCAAGTGGGTTACCAGAGGAAAACGATCTCTTAACCTCAGACAAAGAAAAAGCTGCAACACAAGTGCACTATTAGAAAAGAAACAGACACAAAGCTGTAGAAAACCAGGCTTTGCTAATTCAATCGCTCAGACAACCATTTGTTGTAAAATAAAACCTCTATGGTTTTGCAAACTAGGAAAAAAGCCCCTTCTCATCCTGTTTTTCCTAAGTGTATTTAAGAGCCTTTTAGGACACGACGATATTGCAGATCAGACCTCAGATAACTAGTTTCATCTTAAATCATGATTGACAGAGGCAGGGGACAGGGGGATGCAGAAAGACAACTGTGACAGTGGTTAAAACCCATAACTAATCTTCTCACTTTTTTTTTTTTTTTTTAAAAAAAAACCTGACTGGTTCAGGTCAGGTGTGATGACCCAGGCCCTCTGCCGCAGGAAGGCCACC